TGTGGTTGTCCCTCTACTTTTCCGTGGTACAGAAAGGAACTCTGAGACAGCTGGTCCCTCTGTGTCCTGCCTCTGCCTTCCCCAGGCCTTTGCAGTCTGTGAAGCCCCAACCTTCGCTCAAGTCGTAGGAAGAGTCGTTCTGTTTGTGAGGAGATGCCTGGCCCCACAATGGCACACAAGTTAATTTGACCTTCAACTCAAATTTGTTGTCACGGTCGCTTTGGAGACTAGCCAAGCTGATGCTGACATAATTCATAGACTATCACAAGTCAACACATGCCTATTGTGATGGTTAACGTCTCATTGTTAACAGGACTTAGAAATACTAGGAGACACTTTTGGGTATGTTTCCAGAGCTGTTTAACCAAGGACAGACCCACGCTGCACAAGATGGCACAGCCTGTCAGCTGGGGCCCCCAACTGAATAAACAGGAAGTGGGCTGAGCAAAAGCACCCCTTCTCTCTCTCTCTCTCTCTCTCTCTCTCTCTCTCTCTCTCTCTCTCTCTCTCTCTCTCTCTGCTTCCTGGCTGCACGTGCAAGGTGACCAGTGGCCACGGCTAGAGAGACAGGCTTGTCACCAGGCCATTCCCACTGTACACTTAAAATACCAGGCAAAGACACACCCCACCCTCTCTGCCTGAAGCTGTTTTTGTCAAGTGTTTTATCAAAGTGATGAGAAAAAAGACCAATACATTTATTATCCTGCATATCGGAAACAGATTTGCAGGCCCTAATGACAAATAGGACAATGTGCCTGTTTACAGAGTCTCCCTTCCAAATGAGGAAAACAGCAAAGACGTGAGAAACAAGATATTTCAAATAGTGACAAAGGGAAAGAAATCTTGTGATAAGAAGCAACGTTTACATACGATTGAACTATATGACTGAACATAAACTATAATGATAACACGGCATGGCGTGGTCTGGTATACAACGATGGTGTGAAGCGCTACGATATGATAATATGAAGCGATATAATATATTGGACATATGATAGGATGTGAAGATATGCTATGATTATGTGGCACAATGTGATATGGTGATACGATGATGTGTGATAGGAGAGGATGATATGGCATTATGAAAGTCTATGATATGCATATATATGACAATGTATGATGATATGATGGTAAAACATGACGACATGGAGATGTCATGATGTAATTGAATGATATGATGGCATGGTATGGTATAATGATATGATACTATGGCATAATGGGATATAACAGGATGTGACATGATGCTGTATGACATAAAGATTTGACTTAGGATGATGGTGTAATATGATATGGTGATTATGATATGATGAAGGGATAGATATGATGGTAGGATTGTGATATCATATAATACGATGACCACATGAAATGGTATAGTTGTATAATGCGGTGATATGATATATTCTATAATTAAATGATACATATAATATTAAATGATGATACGATATGAAGATATGATCATATATTATTGATTGATATGCTACAATATGTTGGTGCGATGTGATACAATGATACAAAATGAAATATGTGATATGTGATGATATGACATGACATGATGATATATGACATGATACAATATGATGAAGTAATGCATGAGATGGTGATACAATATACAATATACAATGTAATGCGACACTGCACATCAACATGAAATAGTACAATACGTGACATGACGTGATATAATTGAATTACATATGATGATATAATATAGCATGATAACATGATATGAAAATATGAAGATGTTATATATTATTGAATAATAGGCTACAATATGATGGTGCGATGTGATACGATGATATAAACGAAATGACATGATAATGCTGTAATATGATGCATGATGATATGACAGGGGATATGATGGTATGATAGTGTGATGATGGCATATTATATGACATTTTATGACACCAGCTTCCTATGAATGACTTTTCTTAGGATTTATTTTATTTTAATGACTCTGTGTGTGTGTGTGTGTGTGGTATGTGTGTGAGTTTGTACATGTTACTGCAGTGCCCATGGGGACCAGAAGAGGGCGTGTGATCCCCTGAAGCTGGGGTCACAAACTGTTGAGAGTGACTAGATGTGGGTGCTGAGAGCGGTACCCAGGTCCTCTGCAAAGCACACTCTTTTAACTGCTGAGCCGTCTCTATGTGTGTGGTGGCATAAGCTAGAATCAAATAGAAACCGCAAGGGAAGTATGAGCAGCGAGGGAGCCCATCATGGAAATGAAGGAAAGAAATGGCTTTTGTGAAGAAATTTTAACTGAGATATTCTTGTTCTTTGAGATATGTAGCTCATGACACATAGTGTAGGTTCGCCTTAAACTCCGGATCCTCTTGTCTCTGCCTCGCAAATGATGGGATCGCAGGTGTGCCCTACCATAGACAGTGGTGGCAGAGCGTAAGACAGAGGGGTCAACAGAAGAGGAAGATGAAAGTCAGCCTCATGGAGATGAACAGATGAGGTGCCAAAGCTTCACTCGGCATCATTTCCTCGGCTGCAGACTTGGATAGAATTGCTTTAAGATTGATTATCGCACATGATCCTTTGTTTGTCTGTTTGTTTGTTTTTGTTTTTCAAGACAGGGTTTCTCTGTGGCTTTGGAGACTGTCCTGGAACTAGCTCTTGTAGACCAGGCTGGTCTTGAACTCACAGAGATCCACCTGCCTCTGCCTCCCGAGTGCTGGGATTAAAGGCGTGCGCCACCAATGCCCATCTACACATGATCTTTTAACACACAAAAACAAAAAGGAACCAAGTTTTTCTGAAACACCATTCAGCTTTGGCTAGTGCAGAATGAAATCTTAAAAATAAAGATATTTTAGGCTGGTGTATTTGGGGTGACTATTTTGAGCCCACAGCTCTGCTATCTTGCCATGAAGGAACTGGTCTGGCTACACCCTGAGCACCTCTCGGTTTGAATTTAGATGGTGAGCATGCATGAAGTTCTCCAGCTCTCATTCACTCGTCCTTCATTAGCTAGTTTGTTTGCAACAGGGGCTCGCTATGTCTCCTTGAATTTGCAATTCTCCTACATCACCCTCCTATGGGGCTAGGATTACAGGCGTAACCTGCTCCCGTGCCTGACTTTGTCTGCAATGTATTAATGCTATGCACAGCACACCTCTGAGGGCTGGGTAGGGCCGAGGGGTATCGGCTCGCACTGCGTTTGCTGAATGCTGAAGGAGGAAATGAAGGAGGAAAAAGAAGAGGGAGGAAGAGAGAGAAGGAAGTAAAATCTAGAAATATAATCTCTATTTGCTTTTCCTCTGGATGATACATTTTACTGATTGATATAATCCCTAATTTGGAAAAAAACTTCTGCTATTTTATTATAACTTGGAAAGCAATATATTATTAAAGATTCAGAAATTATGTCAAAGCATGAACAAATCCAAGGGCTCACTGACCGGACTGGAGAGATGGATCAGAGGTTAAGAGACTGCTCTTCCAGGGGCTCTGAGTTCAATTCCCAACAACCACAAGGTAGCTCACAACCATCTACAATTCAGTCTGGTGCCCTCTTCTGGCATGTAGGCATAACACTGTATATGTGATAAATAAATAAATCTTAAAAAAAGAAGGCTCACTGATCATTGTGGCATGAGGAGTTGTTAGTATTTTACATAAATACCTCTGATCATAGTGCCATGTGTATCTTTTAAAGTAAAGATTAGAGAACCATTATGGGTTTCTTTATCTTTTACACAATATGTACGGGAGTCTCTCCATCCCATCCCAGCACTCCTGCAGTGACTGGATCCTAGCACTCTTACAGTATTAGATTCCAGCACTCCTGCAGTGAGGTGGATCCCAGTGAGGTGGGAGGAAGAGAACGGAAAAGCCATGGGCCGGCATGCAGGGGAAACAACAAAAAATCTTGTCCTAAATTAGGTTGAAGGCAAGGAATAGCGTTGAGGTTGACCTCTGACCTCAACATGTGAGCCATACAATCATGTGCCTGCATTCACATATGTTGGGCCTAAGAAAGGCTCGGATGTGAGGCCCAGTGTAAGCTCCTGAGCCTGACTTGAGTTTTGGGCTCGGATGTGAGGCCCAGTGTAAGCTCCTGAGCCTGACTTGAGTTTGGCGACCTGTCTCTAACCTGTAACCTCCACGTGGGGTTGACTCAGTCAGACCTGATGTAAGGTTACCCCCTGCCTAGCTACCTGCCTGCTTGGTGGAATACTATTGGCCCTTAACTCCTCACATCACCTTACCCTATCCTAAGATTCCCATCCCCTACGTCAGCCCTATATAAGCTCCTGCCTGTTGGAATAAATAGAGATCCTGCTTCAACAGACTCCCAACGCAGTGTGTTTTTCCCCAGTAACTAATGGGGGGAGGGTCTGAGTTGCCGACACTCACCATCCCGCTCAGCCCCCCGGAAGAGGCCGGCTGGACTGGCCCTTACCCCGCTCTACCTGCAGGGAGGACCCTGCACACACACACACACACACACACAATACACATAAACACACCTATTATGCAATATATATAACACAAAACTATGAAGGCATGACTTTGCCCAGAGGGGGGCATCTATGAGAATTCCTATGCTCACTTCCCCTTAGTTTAAATTCCTTGCCTCCATTCACTTATAATGTTGAAGCCTTCAGTGTAAAATAGGCCTTTGAATAATTCAGATTTCATACAAATTGTAATGCTAAAAAAAGGAAAACACTCAAAAATGCCAGTTGCCATAAAAAGTTATTAACAACATCGGGCTCTCACTCGTAAATGATTCCACAATTAAAAGTAAGATAATTAGCTAAGCCATTCTTACAAAATCCTACTAAGTCATACTTGAAGTATAACACCACCTTGAAATTTAGAACTATGAATACAGTTGCTGAAGATTGGCCTTCATCTTAAACGACAACAACAAATTGCCTGGTTTTATTCCTTCGTGAGGGTCTAGATTGGGAAGCTGCTTGTACGGCTCCCAGCCACAACCCCAGTTACTCCAGGAAATGCGTATCTGAGTCAAAGCGGACCCCACTCACCCACTTCAGCCAGTGCCCTGATGCAGGACTCCACCGAGGCCTTCTGGGCTGGGTTGGGCCAGGTGCAGTTGTAGATTCTGAAGGCAGATTGCAGCAGCTGGATGAAGACTGGCTGGTGAGTCTGCAAACAGGAGGACACTGGTCACTCTGCTTCACTATGCCACCGTCCCTAAGCCACCCCATGCCTGAGGAGGGAGCAGAGCTATACCTTATCAGACAGGACCGAATAATAATAATAATAATAAAGCACCACACAGTTCTGTGTGCTTCAACGCCACCCACAAATACCTGACGCTACAAAATGTCTCAATAGCATGAGAGGAAACATGCCAGGCACTACAGAAAATCGGTCACTTGTGTTTTCACTATATTCATGTGTATGTGTGTGTGTGTGTGCATGTCTGTGTGTGTGCATGTACGTGCACATGCGCCTGTGTGTGCATGTGTGTGCGAGTGCATGCACATGCATGCATGAATGCAGGCAGGCAGGTGAACATGCATGCATGCAGGTGTGTGTGTGTGTGTGTGTGTGTGTGTGTGTGTGTGTGTCTGCGTGCCAGAGGCTGACTTCAGCTATCTACCTCTGTCACTCTCCCTTATTTTGGTGAGCAGGATTTCTCACTGAGCCTGAACCTCGTTTGTCTAGACTTGAGGGGCCACTGTGATCCAGGGTCCACTGGTCCCTGCAGGGGCCACTACCATATTCAGTGGAGAGAAAGCCAAGGTCAACGTCTTCTAGATGTTATCCCTCACAGCAACGGACACCAACAGAGACATTAAACCTCAGATGTGCGGAAATTCACTAAATAAAACCGTGTGTGTGTGTGTGTCCAACTTAAAATTCCTAATAAAACGCAGGTATCGTGCAAAGGACGGTTACAGTGCACTTAGAGACTGATGAGCAAAAGCTGCACATGCTCACTACACACACTCTCTGATATTGCTGATTGTGGGCCGGCAGGGTCTGCAGGTTGGAACTCACAGACACCGGGTTGAGCATTTGTGTTCTTCACCCAAACAAAACTAGATGACACTTAATGTGGTCCTGCCATTAATTTTCCTTTTGAAACACAAATTTTAATAAGACGCCCCAAAGATATGCTGTAATGTACTGGGCTGTCTCCTTCTCTGTGGAAATTTAAAGTAGAAAAGTGCAAATATTTTTTAGGTATTTATAAAGACTCGGAAACCATGATATGCCAACCTTTAGGATAAATTAATGATGTGCGGCAGCTGGCCCAGGCACCTACCCATCCGAACAGTCAGCCATTATTTCAACACTTGGCCCTCTGCATACAGATGTGAAAGAGGAAAACAGCCTGACTTTAACAGGTCTCTCGATGTAAAATGAAGTTGGGGATGGGGCTGTGATCTTTCAATCTGATTAAATGACGCATAAACTGGATTGTTTGCTAAAGTGTAAATTTCAAAGTGACTCAGAACAGGCAAAATGGAAAAAGCTAAGAAACACTAAAGCACCCAGGAAACACTGGGACCAGGAGGGGAGGGGAGGGGGAGGGGACAAGAGAGGAGGGGAAGGGAGGGGAGGAGAAAATACAACAACATACACACATAAAAAGTCACCATGAAACCCATTCCTCTGTGTTACTATGGATAAGTTAACACTAAAATAAAGTTTGGTCTGGGCAGAAGAGCACACTGTGAAGTAACTCAATGATTATCTGGAGTGTCAGAAAGGGCATCCGAGCCGGATCAGAGCTTCCCCCGGCACTGGTACAGCTACCTGGAGGCTGGCACTATTGTCTGAAAAAGGTGAGTTGAAGAAGCCGCTCACGATGTTCATGACTGACTCCGTCACACATCTCTCCAGGAAGACGTCTGCGTGCTTCCTGTCTGTGGTGGTGTTACAGACCTGCAGGGTAAGCAAAGTACGCCTCCGCATTATAAACTGGTAGTGGGACCTTCTAAGAGTTGCTGGACGAGAGTTCTGGGCTTTGTGGGGCTCCTTCAGACGTGAAGATTTCTGTCCAAATCAAGTCTTGCTGCCATCCCAGGCCCTGCGTTAACTTGCTGTCTCCCTTATTTTTGCACGCCAACCTCTCCCTTGGTCCACTAGATTTTGATGAAAACTACCTCCACCCCCTGAGGGGGAGAGTTCAGTGCCATTCTGGGTGCAAAGGGGTGATAAGAATTCGTGGTGACCAGTGCCTACACACATTTTCCCTGGCATCCCCTGGGCCCACGTGACGAGGCCACAGGTGCCACCTGAGAGGTGCTGACATTTGCATGTGCAACGCCCCCAACACTTGGTGCTATTTTGAATCCTGTGGAGGCCCGCCCAATGTTTCTGGGTGTTGCCAGGACGCTGACATCTACAAAGTTTGCCACACACATCCACGCTAACAGCTTTAAGCTCATGAATTTTGTGTTCACAGCTGTCTTCTGTGGATGGCGGCTTGGTGGCCACGGGTGGGATAGGACCTGGAGGCCGTGGCTCGCTTGCTCGCTGAGATCTGGGCGGTGAGGTTAAAAGCCCCACCCACGTCCTGTGTTTTCTCTGCTTCCTAATTGGTCAAGGTGTGAGGGGGCGGAGCCCAGGCTGCACAGGTCTGCCCATCTGCCGTCATCCCGTCCCTCCCGACTGTAACGGAAGAACCTTCAAGGCTGTGAGCGAAGAGAAGCCCTCGTCTAAGTTCCTTATGCCAGATGTTGCCCACGGGGACACAAAACAGAAATAACTAAACCAGGACCTGACAGAGGAGAACGGGCAGGCATGCGGACCCCGGGCCAAGCCTCTCAGCAGGCAGGGATGCTATGAGGAGAGTGTCTGGAGAAGCAGAAGAGAGACCACGGCGAACAAGACAGAGAGCCGGCAGCAAGGAGAATAGGAGACGAAGACACGGAGGAGGGAGGCACAGAAAGGCATTAAGTCCTCGGAGAATCTCAGGGGAGCAGGGACCTGTCACACACACACACACGCCACATACCACACCACCATCTCACACACACACACACAGACACACAACACCATACACACGCACCACACACACACAGACACAGACACACACCACACACACACTACACCACATACATGCACACACAGACCCACACCACACACACACACACGCACACACACACGCACGCACTCGTGCATACATGAACGGATACACATGGGGGAGAACTGATGGACTAGAATGAGCACTGCCGACGACATGAGGCACTAGCAGTTGGGTGAAGGATGGGGAACAACCGTCCATCCTCAGGCGCAGTCCAACAGTCCTCCGGCGCGGCGTACCTCATCACTGTAACTCAGCCTAAAAGTTGGGTCTGCAAAGTTACAGCTGAGAGAAGGGTGCCACAGAGAAGGCAAAAGCTACAGAAAACATGAGGACACGTCTCCAGTCCCCTGCCACGCTAGCTTCTTGGGTCACATAGAAAGAACACTTTCAAGTGAGTCTTATTAGTGATCCGTTCAACTTTTCACAAAATCATAGGACATCTGCTTAATCCTGTCCGACAAAGACCACGAGGAAGCAGTTTTACAGCAGAGACACATTCATTCTTCCTGTCCCCAAACTTCTGCCTGGCAGGAAAGAGAGAGCGGATGGCCAAAGGGATCTATCCAAAAACACGGTACCCTGACCTGTCTTGTTAAGGACTGATCTGACACTCAGGGGACACGCATCCTAAATTATTTCTTGGTCTGATTTCGTTCTGTCGGAACATCACTCAGAGTGCAGCTGGTGGCCGTAAGGTCTCGAAAGGGATGGCAGAGTTGGGAGCATCTTCAAAAAATCACACTGTAGTCTGAGGCGATTACCAATCATCACCTGCCCCTTCTAGGTCCCTCCTGATAATGACCTGAGTCCCCCCGACTACAACAACAACAAGCAGTTATCAAGACGGAGAAAACCGTTTCTGCCCCACAAGCACGGGTCTCAGCTGTACTAGAACATGGATCAAAGGGGGGGATGCCATTAATGGTCTGACAGACAGCAACTGCATCTCCTGGGTCTAACAGCTAGGCCACTGCCCCAGTGTGTCATCTTACAGCTAGCTCATGGGCCCCGGCTCTGCCGGGACAGCAGAAGGAGGACCACATGAAACACTATAGCACAGCTTATTTAAAAGCCACTTTTCAGAAAAGACATTCTGTGTGTCTTTTTAAAATTATTTTTAAATTTATTAAACAACTTGCTGGCGTCTGGTCTCCCACTTCCACCAGCTTGTGTTCTGGGGCTCAAACTCGGGCTGTCAGGCTTGGCAGCAGGCTCCTTTACCCACTGAGCCCTCTCACTGGACCAGTCCTGCGGGTGCTTGACCCTTATGAGGGATAAAACCCGTGCGGAGGGAAATGGAAGACACAAACAGCAGCGGCTCCAGATGGCTCTCCGAGAACCCCAAGACCTCACAGTGATGACTACAGAAAAAGCAGACGCTACGTGGCTGCCAGCTTGGAGACTTCATTTGTCTTTTCAGACAAGCTGTTCTCCAAATGTCTACCAAAATACAATGGTATAGGCTCAGGCAGGCTAGGGGGAGGTATCTAAAGATGTGGAAACAGAACAGAGGACCGGTATAAGGCACGGGTAAAACACGGGGAGACACGAAGGCTAACTTTGAGAAGCTGCTGGAGCTGGGCGTGAGGGTAGGAGCCTCCCTTCCCGCTCTGTAACAAGCAGGGGGATCCGCTGCAAATTACACATCTGGACTCCAGGAGCAACACTATGAGGCCGCCTAGAAGCTCTCTAAGTTTCACAGCCTTATAATTTCAAAGTAGGCCTGGCCAGGAGGACCGGGTGACCCCTGGTATATGCTACCCCTTTGCTTAACTGGACACTGCCCCATGTTGCTGCTCACGTAAAATCAGGGTAGAAGCTATAATGAAGAAAACCTCGAGTGGGCGTAAGAATCTTTAAAGTTGTGCAGAAATAAAAACCAAAGCATGCCAAACATAGGAATGGCATTGTAGATGCTGAAAACTAAGACTGGACACCTAGCCGCGTGCTCTCCTCCTTCCCCCCTGCCATGTTGGGTGCCCTCAACCAAGCTTCGGGCACAACTCTTCACCGGCCCCTCCCCTCTGATGCCAATCAGTTTCTCCAGGGTTTCAGGAGTTTGCTGTTCACACCTGCGTCTGATGTCCATCCCTCTCCCCCCCCCGCAGGAGTTTGTATCACATGGCCTCACAAGCCTGAATCCACGATTGCCTGGCTTCGTGCACACCTGTCCTCCATTGTGTCAAAGGGAGTGTCACTGTTAGGAGGTGTGGCCTTGCTGGAGTGGGTGCAGCCTTGTTGGAGGAAGTGTGTCACTGAGGGGTGGGCTCTGAGGTTTCCAATGCTCAAGCCAGCCCAGTGTCTCTCTCTCTCTTCCTGCTGCCTGCTGATCTGGAGGAAAAACTCATGGCTCCTTCTCCAGCGCCAGGTCTGTCTAAGTGGCCCCATGCTCTCAGCCACGATGATGATGATGATGGACTAACTCTCTGAACTGTGAGCCAGCCCCAGTAAAATGCTATTTCTTTTATAACAGTTGCTGTGGCATGGCGTCTCTTCACAGCAACAGAAACTCTAAGCTACCTGGCTTCATGCAAATTCAGCTTCTGGCTTAATTCATGTCCCGTCTCATGTGTAGCTGGCTTCATTCACATTCCACTACCCTGCATGCCTAGCTTCACACATGCCTGGCTTCACATATGCCTAGCTTCATGCATGCCTTGACACATGCATACCCAGATTCATGCATACCCAGTATCTTTCAACTCTGGCTATATGCATGCCTGACTTCATGCATGTGCAGCATCATGCAAGCCCAGGCAATGTTCATCTGGCTGCATGAACACAGGGGCTGGCTCTAGCCTGTGTGGACAGTCTGTTTTTCCTCTCTCAATGTCATTATGTCATCAATATCACTTAGGTCTCAGGGAAGCTTCTGAAACTGCCCAAAAGGCCTCTCCGAGCCTTGTGATAACCCTGGTGAAGGCATAATACCACTTAGTGTGTGTTACCTCACCAGCTCTTCCCAGGGTCCTCCGGGGAAATGTATTTATGGTAAGGCAACCTGGGTTATAGTACATGTCCCAGTATATGTAAGGCAGTCATGGAAAGCCAGAGTTTGGATCTGAACCCTGGACTGACTAATTCCTTTGATGTCCCTTCCAGATCCTACCACAGTGGCTCTTGGAGCATCCCAGGACCAACCGTGGTGCCATGTAAGACTTGTTTCAAACGTCTTGTCTCCCAAGTGCCGAGTCCAAGACTCTGGGGAGCTGGGCTCAGCCATCTGCATGGAAAGCTGTCCAGAAGGCCACCTGGGTCGTTTTGTTACTAGAATGTAGAAACTCCCCACAGAGTGAGGAAGGGACCCTCTGCCCTGGGCTTCCTCTTCTGGAGAATTCTGGGTGGGTTCGTGTCCACCTGCTTTGAAGGGCAAAGAAGAAGCTGAAGGGAACAGAGGCTTCTGCAGTCAACCTGAGCAGACAGGCAGGAATTCCAGGAAGCCTCCCGGAGCCTTCAGGTAATAAGCGACACTCCAGAATCACCCACTTAAGCAAAAGAAAAGCCTCTGCATTTGTAAGTGGAAAGAGTGCGTGGGTCCAGCGTGGGTAGCTGGGTCAGGCAATCACCACTCACTCTCTCTGGTTTCAGTAAAATTAACTCCGCCTGAGTGTGACAGCTGGTACTTCTGAGAGCGTGACCTTGGTCTCTCTCCAGCTTATTCTCAGCCAGTGGCACCAGGCAGCTCCGCAGAAGCGCACGCGCCTGGAAGGTCTTTAACATCTTCCTGCACGGGCAGCCCCTGAAATCACCCTTTGCCTCAAGGACTCCGGAGCTGCCTGCAGCTGGTCAGGGCCAAGTTTTCCTCATGTCAGTGGCAATGACAACAGTGAACGGTGTGAGCTAAGCGTGGGAGAACTAGCTGTGAATTAGCCGGGAAAGGACACGGTGATTTCTAGCTGGTCACACACACACACACACACACACACACACACACTAGCTGGTCTCTCTTTCTCTCTCTCTCTCTCTCTCTCACACACACACACACACACACACACACACACACACACACACTAGCTGGTCTCTCTCTCTCACACACACACACACTAGTTGGTCTCTCTCTCTCTCTCTCTCTCTCTCCACACACACACACACACACACACACACACGGTGTAAAGCGGGAAAGGTCTGACTACACCCGCATTTGGACCTAGTGAGGATCGCTCTACCACACCAAAAGCAAAGTGAGCACATTTCTCCTGGAAACTCTGACTAACCAGGAGGAACACATGGTCCACCTTTTCGTCCAGGGTGTTCTTGGCGGCCCGGGTTTACAGTGGGAGCTCCAGTGTGTGGATTTCACCCCCCTCCTCCAGAAAGAGTGGGAGGGAGGCCACTGACTACCAGATATGGTAGCAATTGTTCTTGTAAGATTTTGGGAGCTCCCATCCTCAAACACATTTAGACGAGGCCTCCATAAGCTACCAGCAGTGGGGGGAAGCAGGAAGGCCCAGAGGACTGAACAGGTCACCTTAACTTGTACAAGGTCTAAGGAACTACGGATACAATGCCTTTCCTAGAAAAAAAATCCTCATTCAAACCTCACATCTCGTCACTCTTAAAACTCAAACGAGAGAGCTTGGCATGGTGGCTCACACCTGTACTCCCAGCACTTGTGGGGCTGAGGGAGGGCGATAGCTGTGAGTTTGAGGCTAGCCCGAGTTACTCCAGGCCCAACCTGTGCTGTGGAATGAGGCCTTGTTTGAAAAAGAATGTAAAAGACCTCTGTATATTAATAATTTGTTATGCAAAAAAGAAAGCAGAAAAGAGTAAACGTCACCCTTTCCTTGTTGCTCACACATTTTCCCAGGGAAACCACGCGTGTCAGACATAGATACTTAACACCATCCGGTGTCACATGCCACCTCCCAATTAAAAAAAAAAAAAAGAAAAGAAAAGAAACAGACTCAAAGTAAAGACAGAACGTGCTCTGGGAGACATATACGGAAAGTCCAGATGACCAAACTATCAGAGCCAGGGAAGACTGTAACGGGGGTCATGAGAAGTCTGCTCACCGTCCTTCCTAGACCACGTGAGGCCTCCTCCATCTGCGGCTTTAATTGCCTTCGCGGCAAGAGGTCAACTAGAAAACGGCCTCTGCCAAATGTTTCCTCCAACCCATGTAGCAAAGCTCCTAAAAATTCCCCTTTAGTAACAGACAAACATGGTCATTTATAAAGGTAGAAATTAAACCCATCACCTGTAACTGCACTTGCCATAGTAGGCGTTCTGTTTACGTTAACAAGGCCTCTTGTGATCTCCTGGTGAACTCACTCACAACTTCATGGATAAGAAGACTAAGTCAAAATGTAGTTGGTTTAGCAGCAAGTTTTTTCATCTAGATATGTACTGCTTAAACACAATCAGTGCCAATCAATACCGATGATCTCGTCCCACACGGGGAGCGTTTGACTTACCCTCGCCATATCCACCAGGAAGTTCTCAAATAACTTCCAGATGTGGTTACTTGTGTAGATCTCTTTCATCTCCACTTCCGTGTCAACATAGCAGTGATTGACGAAGTTCACGTACGCAATCTTGACCTGTGAGAGTTTCAAACGCAAAAGCAAGTTCAGTTTTCCACCCACCGCCTTCCGTTCTACAACATGACATGCCTGCCATCTGTGTGGGCTCCCATAGTAGAACACGGTCTGTTTTGGACATGTGCAGGGTCCCTGCTTTCGTCCCTCTAACGGCTACTCCACCCTGTCCCAGGGAAGCCTGTGGTCTAGCATTCCATTCCCCCATGCCCAGAGACTGCTGAGAAAAACAAGAGCTTTCCTCAGAGCAAACCTAGCATCCTTGAGACACTAGGAAGAACTCATATGTCTCCGAGAGAAGGCTGTATACAGAAGGGAATCATGTCAGTCATCCCATGGGATTCCAGGACTCTGAGTCAGAACCATGAGGAAGGAGGGCAAGCTGTCCTGCCTGTCAGACTTCCTGCTGCTCCACTGGAGTCTAGGAAAAAATTCTCCATTGCGTGTGCCCGTGTTGAGATGGGCTAAGATGAGCTGAGACACCATCATCTCCAAACAGCTGCATTTACTCATTGTCCGCCACATATGAAGCCCCCTCGGCCTTCCCCATGCCTCCTCTTATTGAACGCAATCCTCTATTAATCCTATTAGGCAGATGCAGTGACTATTTTACTTTAAAACCGTGGGAATTGGATGCTGGAAGTGTTAACAACTGTGGGAGTCAACGACACAGTTGGGAAACAGTAGATAAAAATCCTGTTGAAGTCGCTGGAGACACATTTGCTGGGCATCTGCTCTGACTGGGGTACCCAAATGACAACTGGAACCACACCTAGCCATTACCCTCCTAGAGCCCATCCTCTCGGAGGAAGGCATGAGGTTTAATTAAAGTCAGCTGGCCAGCTCTCCATTGGAGATTTGGGTAGCCACATCTGAATAGTCAGAGGACTCGTCTCTGAAGAAGAAGAAAAGCGTGAAGTGAACACAGGAAAGGCAGGGCCCCAAGCAGGAACTGAACACGGGGTCTGGCATGACTGAGTCCATGGTCCTCTCCTCCTCTCCCTGCCTCTCTGCCATTTCATCTCAGCCCCAGCAGGACGGACCCTTGGACTGAGGTGCTATCATCACTTCCTCACAAATCCTCCTTCAGGTCCATGACTGCGCTGCCATGGGCTACCTGGATAGGGACTGAGACCTGATGAAAGATGTCATTAAATACTTAGGTTAACAATTATGGAGTAAATACTAAAGTCAGAGACAGCCAGTAAGAAACCAAGCAAATGGCCAACAGCTTCATAATTAATACAGCGTCCTGTGTGTTATTTGGGGACTGCAACGCTGCAGAGCCCAGGTGACTGGTGGGGAAAAAAACAAAGCTGCTGGCAAGGAAAGGGCTTCACCCTACAGAGACCTCCCCTGACTGTTTTTGGTTTTATGTCCTTTAGTGTATAGCACACATCTATGAACTTGCCGTGACACACACAACAACAGAAGAGAAGTAAATCATTACACTGTGTGTCCCTGGAAGCCTCACTAATGGACAGGTTGCCTCAGCCGACAATCTGACAGGTAGTCTTCCCAGTCGTCAAAGCTGAAGCAGAAGAGAGGCTGAGAGGGGGTGTGGCGTGCTTGCTCTCGGGAAGACACACATTCTACGCGGCAAGGTGACCCCATGGAGTCTGAGGTGGGCTCCTGCACCTCAATCAATGACTAATTCGTCAGTGAGCACCACCAGGCTCACACTCAAAACCACAAGTGAGCCTTTCCCTGCAAAACCCCGTACCATGTGCAGACCTTTAGAGACATCCGCAGCTCTTAGTCAAGGGGACTGTCTTCCTTCTGTGCAAGCAAAAACCAGCAGTCTTTGCGCTCCTTTTCACTTTGAAAATTATACGACTAAGAAGCACCGTTAATCCCCCTGACATGTGTGGTGTCATCATGACCAGTACCATGAGAGATGCCTGACGCCCAGGTGAGCTTTTTAAGACAGGAGTGTTCTACGTGTGACAAGCGTTTGTCAGGCTGACCTCGGGGATACAGTCGTCGTGGGTCACCACCCTCACGATGTCGTCCAGGGGCAAGAGAGAATTGCACTTGATCTCGGTATAGACATTCTTCCCCTCCGTACAGGCAGCCAGCAACTCCACGAGGGTGATGTGGTAGGCCAGGGGGCCGCTCTCATCCCCGCGGGCTCTCTCAGAGCACATCATGTTGAGAAGGATGGGAAATGACGCTCTGTCGTTGTAAAATATCAGTACATCTTCACCCCCGTTAATCAGCTGAAATGAAGGAAAGGGACTGCACAGCCGGTTTCGACATTTCTAAGAGCTTGACCTACCTGAAGACACACAGATCTCTGTTTACAAACAGAGACAAGCTTGCGCGCACGCACACACACATGCACACACGCACGCATGCACACACACACACTGCAAAAACTGAGCTTCCTCAGGCAGGAGGAGGGAAAGGTCAAAACCATGTGCCAAGCAACCAGTGACTGATGCTGCCAAAACCGGGCAGGAGATAAGAGATCAGCAGAAGGGATAAGAACCAAACAGCACTGAGCCAGGCCTGGGGGTGCAGACCTGTAACCCCAGCACCAGGAAAGTGAACGTCTGAGTTACTGAGTCTGTTTCCTCTAAAGTAGTAAAGTGAGGGACTGGCGAAACTCTTAACTAAGAGCACTCCCTGCTCCTGCAGCGGACCAGATGATCCGACGCCCTCTTCTGGCCTCTTCGGGCAGTGCACTCACATGCACACACCCAGAGACAGACACTTCTGTACACATTAAAATAGAATGAATCATAAAAAAGCACTTGCATTAGTCATAAGCAAACAAAACTTGCACATTGCTTCAAGACCTTACAACTTTATACATATCTGGAAAAAATCCTCATTTTATGGGGGGGGGGGGATCAGAGAATAGGACAAAGACCTGAGATGGCAAAGGAATGACAAGAGGGGTACACTTAGGACATGAATGGTCCTCATATTTTGTTGTATGCTTTTAGTGTTCAAGTTGGCAGCGAATTTTACTTACCATGCTATTGTCTATGACTGACACCAATTTTCTAACCCTGATAGGAAATATTTGGTCAGGTTATGGATGATATATAAATTTCGATTTAGTTATTACATTTAAATCGGTAACATTCCAGTCAATAAGCCAACTACCTGACTGGCTGACTTTGACAGTCCTGTTGCAAAGGAATTTATGTATCCAGATAATGGCCATGCATGCTATGACAGTGATTTCCTCACACACAGAAGCATTTCCTTTGGTAAGCGCCAAAGGAAGGGCCTATGCGTTTGCTTCACCTTGCTCTTTTCATCTGTTTATTTACAATTCATGAGGCAGCATTACCTTTTAAGATTTCTGGGTGACACGTGAAATCAGCACAGAGACATCTCTCACTTCTGACTGGAAGGCATGGGGCAAAGGGAATTTCCCCAGACCAACACTATCCCCCAGGTAACAGCTGCCTTGCAGCTGTGGGTGGAGCTGAACAGACACACAGGCCACCAGCCTGCACCTGGGCACCAGTTCTCCAGAGGGACACCTTTGTGTCCCTAGTGAGCAGCTAACCCACATCACCCTCTTGCAAAGTCGTTAGCTCGCTTTCCTAAGCTCTTACCTCACTCAAAACACCCAGTTCCCACTGCTCCAGGAACTGCCAATCACATCTTATTAACCCATGTGCTATTCCTCAAAACTATTACAAACAGTGGCAAAGAACACCCGTCCTGTCATCCAGAAGGAGGGAGGGAAACACCAGAGCTCAATTGCTCTGTCACGTACTAAAAATTTCTAAATAGGAAGGTTGTGTTAATTCCGAATAACCCTGTGATCTCATAAGATTTCACCCATTGTAGGAGCTGGAGAGGTGGCTTAACGGTTAAGAATTGCTCTTGCAGAGAACCCAGGCTCAAGCCCCAGCACCCACATCAAGCAGGTTATAAATGGGTGTTGCTTCAGTTCCAGAGGCTCTGACTCCCTCTACTGGTCTCCACAGGCACCTACACGCACATGGTGCAGAAACACACATGCACACACACATGCATACACACACACATACACACATACAGACATGTATGCATACACACACACACACACACACACACAATTTGTTAAGTCCAAACATGACCCATTATTTAACAGATCCAAATTCATTACAGATCAAAAAGAAAAACTCTTAGTGAGATCATGAAGTCAGACGGTCCCATGTAACTCCAATGCACCATTGTTGAAACCTATGGGTGCCTGAGCAGTCATAATAAACCCAAATGGCTTCGGAGGTCTTGCTGGAGACGCCTATCCGGGCACAACTTACACGATGACTGGAAACCTACCTCCGTCATCACCATGTCCTGGCATTTCTTCACGTATTTGCCGTCGGCTTTGACGATGGTCTGCAGGAACCTGAGGTACTCCACATGGCGGCCGTGGGTCTCGATACAGTGCACAAAGTGCTGGACGACCCTCTCGCTGATCTCGTTGCACAGGTGGTAGTTGTTCATGAAGATGTGCCGCATGGTCTCTGCTTCCAGGAGCTGAGCAGAGGGAGTGCACCTTCATGACTGGGCTGAGGCCAGGGCTCTGTCCTACAGTGCCTGTGTTCCCTGACTGGCATGGGCCTGGTGTCGTCTGTGAAGCCACCAGGAGTGGCCGGTGCCCTGTCCTCGGTGGAGTGCAGTGCGTCACGAGCCACTGAAAGACACCTGCCTCACAATGGGACTCAGCTGGAGAGAGGAAATTAGCAAGTGCTTAATCGGCCACGTGAGGGCATTCGTTATTCCAGCTTGGCTCTAAAGATATGCGAATACATTTTTTTAGCCTTTTGTGAGAGTATGGTATAAGCACATGTGCTGTGTGCACATGTATGTGTGCTGACGGGAACATGATGTGCATGTGCATGCAGAGACCACAGCAGGGTCGGAATACTCCTCCGTCACTCTCCGTCTTATTCCCTTGAGGCAGAGGCTCTCACTAAACCTGAGACCATATCCCGATTGCACTGATTGGCCAGCAGGCTCCTGTAGTCCTCCTGTCTCTGCCGTCCACACAAGGCCGCATCTGTCTTTTATGTGGGCACTGGGGATCTGAACCCAGGTCCTCACACTTCCACACTGAATGCTCTTATTCAGCCCCAAGACCTGCCTACAGGCTTTTATCAGGCCATGGTTAATGCAACCTTGGAATATTCAGTATCTAGCTCTTGTGTGTTTGCTTTCGGTTTGGGTTTCGTGGTGCTAGGTCCTGAACATGCGAGGCAAACTGTCTTCTGCTGAGCTATACCCCAGCTCCCATACTGAGCTTCACCATGGTATCAACAAATCAGTTCTTTCTAAAATCCTTACTCTAACATTGAACTATATGTTATAAATTAAACTGCATTTACATACGGAATTTGCCTAAATTTTCAAAATACTTTAAGAGCCTCTTCTATGGAAACGCTCAGTTCTATGGAGTGAATCTCAAGGGGAAAAACAGACGTGCAAAGGTCAACAGAATTTTCTGCAGCACAGTAAACGCTGTGCGTGCTCTGCTGTAAACATGGGGGGGGAGAGACGGGGGGGGGGCACCGCGGTACTTACTCCAGGAGTCAGAAACAGATTGAGATGCTTGTGAAGGAGGACTTGATTCTGTGGGTTCCCCCGGCAGAAGTTCTGCAGGAAGGTGTGGGCTAATTCCATCACCTCGTTCATCTTCTCATCGTTCTGCAGGGTGAAGGGGCAGCACATGATCCTGAGAGCTGAGGACAGGCTTGCACACAGCCGCATACTGCCCCCCACCAAGGACGCTCGCCTTTGTGGATCTGTCCACGCTCTCCTTTCTCCACACCCTCTGCGTCTCTGTACCCCTTCCGCCAGCCATCTCCTGTCCCTTCGGTTTCTGTGTTCTGGACCCTTCTCTCCTTTTCTCTTTATTCTTCCAGTCTGCTCCCTTCTCCCCCACCCCTCCCTGTTACACTCCCGTCTTTCTCCCAGACTGTCTGATTACCCACCCCTGCCCACGCTAACAAAAACGTGAACCAAGGCTGGATGGAGGACGGGGTATTTTCAATGCAGCCTCTTCCGCAGAATAGTTATTAATTAGAAAGGGAGAGGGAGGTCTGTAGGGTGAGCCCACAACACTGTCCACACCCCACTTCTGACACCAGCTGAAGGTGGAAATAACGCTATCTGAAAAAAGGAGGTCTAATGTGTTTATTAAACATACTTACAAGATAAACAGAGGGATGGGAGCTCTGGGAACATGCCTAGCTTTCAAGAGAGAGAGTGCTTTTTCATTTCCCTTCCCAATATATCTCACCTGTTCCAAGTACCCCCTGCTCACGCCCCTTTGGGGCGTGGACAGTATTGTGGGCTCAAGCCTACAGAGGTCCTTACAGTGGACAAACCAGCAGACGCATCAGTAGTGTTAGAACAAATCAGAGTCGCATGTGTCTGCTGGGAAGCTCAGCACAGAAATCAGGATGCTTCCATGTTCCAACTCAAGATAGGAGATGGAACCTGAGCAAAAGAGGAAGTGAGGGGGCACTCTCCAAAATAACTGTCGGTCTACAAGAGAGCCTGGGACTGAGATAAAGCAGACAGAACAACCACGCCCGGGAGTCTAAAGCATACGTCTAAAACAGATGCTTTTCTCAACTGGACGTGGCTGGAACTGTGGAAGAAACCTGCGTGCTCTGTTGGGCTCAGCAACAATGCATCACGGCGCTCCTTCCTAATTTTCAAGGTGGAAAAGCAGGTTGCATTTAAAAAAAAAGCACACCCTTGTGCACGGGGAGCATGGGAAAGAATCCATGGACACCGGGCAACGAGTGGGGTGGTCTTCTTTAACAATTAAGGAGAGAAAGAAAGGTTCTTTAAACCTGGTGGTGCGTTTTCAGTAGCGCGGGAAGGGAAGGAAGGTGGGGCAAACCTTTTCGAAGGGGATCTGCAGAAGGTCCAGCACCACGGAGTGCGCCCCCATGTTCTTCAGCAGCCGCTGGTGTTGGTTACGACACTTCTTGTTCTGCACACACAGCTTGCTCAGCCTGATCAGGATCTTTAACAAGAATGGGGTGCCGCATCAGACACGGCTGTGTGACGCGCGCGAGCAAAAGCAACCCCCGCGTGCGAATGCGCAGAGAGAAAGCAACCCCGGCTGCTGACCTCCTTGACGATCCGGTAGTTGTTGCCCTTGTTGCTGTCGATCTGTGGTGTCTTTGTGCCATCTTGCACCGGACTCAAGAGGTTGGATTCCTAGAAACAACACCGACGTGGGCTTTATGTTTGTAACGAACGTACCACTCTTACAATAAAAATGTAATTCGTAGTTATTTTATTAAAAAAAAAAACAGTTATCTGGCCTATATGTTGTTTGCGCTTTTTTTGGGTGCATCGAAGTTTTCTCAGCTTGAATGAAACATGCTATAACCTCATATAAACCACGTTACACGGTAAGTAGATAAGCAGCATTGCTGAGCACTGATGAGTGAAAATTAAAATAAAGGGTGGCTGTAAACACATCGCTAGTGTATGAACACACGTGTGCTGCAGACATACCACAGGTTTATATTTTCACTGTGCGGGGAGACAGTCCAATTCAAGGGCACCCCAGTCATAATTCTATCGCCAAAGACAAGATGTGAGGAAATAATGAACAAAGGAGCTAACCGGTCATGGCACTGAGGTACATCTCAGGGAAGAAAAGGCCAACTTAACCCCGGGATGCTGTGCCAGGTTACCATGACATCCGTGAGAGTCAAACTTGGAGCAGATCAAGTGTGTGCAGGAAAAATGAAGAAAGAAAATAAAATAGAAATCAAATTAAAAATAATATTTCAAATTACTACGCTCATGAGACTTATGGACAGTCCTGAGACACTGAAAATAAGTGATTGTAATAACCGCTCTCTGATAACATCACATTCAGAAAGAAATCCAGGGCACGTACATGCACACGTTAAATATCAGCTACCGGGATCACTGTATAAAAAGTGCCTATTAGCAATGTCTTCCCATAGAGCATTTGGAAGCCTCACTATGTGCGTACACTCACCTACTGTGGGCTCCTCTAAGAGAAATAAAAGATCCCTTCTTACGACCAGGAAAACTGCAGCCACCTTAGGAACCCCGAAATGAGAAATCAGAGGTGTGAACTGAATAAATAGGACTCAGGATCCAGGGAGGGAGGAAGGGCAGCCCCAGCTTCAGGCAGTGTGACTAGAGAAACCCAAGTTGAAGCTGAGGTCTTGTAGATGAACACTCGCTAGCTGGGTATGAGGGGTGCCTGGTGGGTGGGGCACGGCGGGGCCAGGGGGGGTGTTTCCAGAGAAGTCAGAGGTACCAGGGAGAGAGCATCTGGAGTACTGCAATCCATAGACTGCACAGAACTGCACCTGGGATCAATGTCAAGTTCAAGTTGGGTCAAAAACACTCTAACCTCCTGAGTATTGGTAGTGTCAGACTCCCTTGTTTAGCTCAGGAAAAAGTAACAGAAGTACCTGAGGAAAATTAACATTGTTTCATTTGTCCCAGGCTGTCCTTCCTATGGTGCTCCAGCAGCAACTACAAAATTACCTCAACCTGAGGAGTTGAAGCAAATGCCTTCCCTCTTAGTCAAACGAAGCGGGCAGAAGGCTCTGTGCCACAGAAGGGTGCAGTCAGGCTGAAGCCGGCACCGCTCCTCAGCTCGGCATTTCTTCTTCACGCTTTTCCTGGTAAATACTGTTCCCCGAGCCCCCTCTGCCACTGCTGAGCATGAAAACCCCTGTAAACACCACCCCAGTATCGTCACCACCCAGAACGCCTCTCTTGTGCCTGTCTCCGAGAACTGACCTTTCTGGAATCCATCTCCCCACCTCCTCTCCCTACCTCAAGCCCCTTTGTTTCTGAGACAGGAGCAGGCTCAACCCTCTGCAACCTCTCACCGCAAAAAAAAAAAAAAAGTGCGGAGTTACTGCTGCCCCAGCAGACTTGAGTCCCAGACACTGAAGAGGCAACCATGCCCCACGTTTAACCTCCCTGGACCTCTTCAGCATCTGTCTCTGACTCAGAACGACCGGGGATCACCGATGATGGGGAGAGAGGGACACGGAAAGCCTTCTGGGTTTAGAAAGGTGAGTGGGAGCTGCGCTGTTGTCAGATGTCGCCGTGGCTCCAGGGGGAGCTGAGGGCAGCGCAGCCTCCTCTCCAGGTACAGAAGGGACAAGTGAGACCCTGTCGGCCAGACAGGAGTCTAAGAAGAGGCTAGCGCTAGCTCTGCCTTGTCAGGGAGGCCGGCGGGTGCGGAGGGCAGATAGAGCAGGTAACCAGCTCTGTGGGATACTCAGCTAGAGACTCCAGCCGGAGAGTTCCCAGCTCCTATCAATTCACGGGGTTAGAAGCAAAGGTGGCGAATTCTAGAACAGTAACTAAATTTCTCTCTAAGCTGGGCATCCTGTAATTTAAGCACACCAGAAACGAGAATCCAAGTGCAAGATCAGGGGATTGAGGCAAGCCTGGGATACTTGGAATCCTACCTCAAAAAAGGCAAAAACGGAACAAAACACCGGGCTCCCTCTTCTGATCACAGAAGCAGGGGCCTGTGTTTTCACAAGGCCACACCACAAGGAAGAACAGCTCAGATGAACCAGACACTGATTATCAAGATCTTAACCTGAGAGCAAGTCTAAAGGCTGGCAGAACTCCCCTCGCTGAGTCGGCCGACATTCAACAGCAAAAACAAGCGGCAAAGCCTGGCAGACAACGACATCAGGAAAAAAAAGCCATCTTGCTTTTAAAATAGCAACCTTGGGCTGGGGACACAGCCCATTGGCAGAGCCTTTGCCTGGGATGTACATGGTCCTGGATTCGAATCCTAGCACTGATGGAAAGCAACACTGGGCACAGCATTACAATAGTTATGCTCTTTGATTCAACCCAAGGGAAGAGACAGAAAAACGCTCAGCTCTGTGAAGAAATTATGAAGAATAATTACTTTAATTTAAAGTTGCCAGCAGTCAACAAAAGGGGGAAACACTGGAGAATTCAATAAACAATCCTTTTTAATTTCTGAAAATGAGTCAGTGTAAGTAAGGTGAACAAAAACACCAGGCCACAGAATATCTGGATAATTCCAAGGCAGGGATAGGGACTCGGAAAAGCACAAACTTATCCATCGTGTAAGGACAGTTAGGGTTTGGTTTTTTGTTGTTGGTTTTTTTTTTATTCTGAAAAGGCTTTACACAAAAGATGTTTGGAGGTTTTTCCTCCCTAGGAGCAGAAATTGATGGTGATCATTATATTCTACATAACATTAAACGCAGGTTAGTGATCAAATCCACAAAGCACTAAACTTATTCTAATAACAGAATGTTGGAAAACTACAAAGTGTAGGAGTATTACTTCCACGAGACCCCAGAGCTGAGTGTGCCTGGGCAGGATGGGGGCGATGCCATGCTTACAGCACAAATCCAAAAGACTCTTTGACAACTGTCAGGAAGGACTAATATGGTGCCCCTGCTGTTTTTATCATCAGCCACACAACCTAAACTTATTTCTTCTAGGTGAGCATTCAAAGCTAGCTGATGTCATACTGCAAGCCAGGGGCTCAGAAACAGAGCAGGAACCGTCTTCCCGGAAGGGATAGTGAGTCCTGCTGGAAACAGTTCATCACAGTTCTTTTCCTCTTTTCCTTAAAAAAGTGTGTGTGTCCACCAGAGAGGCTAGGGAACAAGGAGGACCCTAAGAGAGACATACATGGTCCCCCGGAAAAGGGGAAAGGGACACGATCTCCTGAGCTAATTGGGAGCATGGGGGAGGGGAGTTAGGAGAAAGAGATGGAGAGAGGCCATGAGGGAGCAGGAAGATTGAGTTAGGGGAAGAATAGAAGAGAGCAAGGAAAAAGATGCCATAATAGAGGGAGCCATTACAGGTTTAAAGAGAAAACTGGCACTAGGGAAATGTTCAGAGATCTACAAGGTTGACCCCCAACTAGCAATCTAAGCAATAGCCGAGAGGCTACCTTAAATACCCTTCTCCAATAATGAGATTGATGACTATTTTATATGTCATCCTAGAGCCTTCATCCAGTTGCTGATGGAAGCAGAAGCAGATACCCACAGCTAAACACTGAGCTGCACTCTGGAATCCAGGTGCAGAGAGGGAGGAGTGATGAGCAAAGGGGTCAAGACCAGGCTGGAGAAACCCACAGAAACACCTGACCTGAACAAGGGGGAGCTCATGGACCCCAGACTGATAGTTGGGAAACCAGCACAGGACTGACCCAGACCTCCACTGAACGGAGATGTTAATGAGGAGGCCTCAGCAATCTATGGGGCTTCTGGTAGTGATGAGTATTCATCCCTAGTACACGAATGGACTTTGGGATCCCATTCCACAGAGACACACGGGGGAGGGCCTAGGCCCTGCTCCAAATGATATGACAGATTTTGAAGATCCCCCATGGAAGGCCTCACCCTCCCTGGGGAGAAGAAAGGGGGATGGGATAGGGAGTTGTTGGTGGGGGCAGGCGAGGAGAGGAGGGAGAGGGAACTGGAATTGACATGTAAAACAAGCTTGTTTCTACTTTAAATCTAAAAAAAAGGAAAAAAGTGTGCATGTGTGTGTGTGTGTGTGTGTGTGTGTGTATGTGTGTGTGTGTGTGCATGAGGTGGGGAGAGGGAGGGAGGAAGAGAGAGAGAATGAATTGGCATTCATTAATAATGATCCAGCATCTAAAATCTAAGCAGGAGTCAACCTCATTTTTTTATTAATTTTTGGGGGGCTTCAGGCTTTTAAAAACAGAACTTTCCAGATGCTACCATGTAAAGCCATAAGGCACCCACAGCTGAGAATGAAGACAGTCCATTGAAAGTCTTCTCCTCGGCCCATCCCACCACTTTCAGGAGCTGACCCTCAGCAGAGTGGTCCAGTGGGCAACGCCTCCTGCTCACCACGACATCCAAAGTCTCCTCTTTAAGGAGCTACACAATGAGGGACACCACTGACCAGCCGGCCTTACCACTGGTTCTGATGGCAAATGCCCACCTTCCCTCCCAGCAAGCCTGCAGACTATACGGGGAAAACAGGAATGGCCCATCGTTCAGATTTTGCCAGTCAATCTGACTTCAGCTTCGCAGGCACTCAGAACGAGTGTCCCCTCGCCACTACCCCCGCACACACACTTCAAATAACCTGCAGGACGATGGGACGCTTTGTCTCCATTGTTAAGGGCAATGCCAGCTACTTAGGCCGATGTCTGGCAGATTACAGAATGA